AGTCATCTAGCAGCTGTTACATTGATTCTTCATAGTCCCTATGGACTATGCACTCACTGCACTGCACTCACTGTCATCCAGTGGAGTCTTTCATATTTGCTGCTCCCCTCCATTGCTGTGTCTCTCTGCAGAGGGACAGATGAATTCCCATAGTCCCATTGTGTCATCTAGCAGCTGTTACACTGATTCTTCATAGTCCATGCTAGTTTTGAGAAATCTTTCTTTTCCTGGTGGCTAACTGCAAGTCTGCCTTCAATATCTGAGATTCTGTTCTCACATTGGCCTAATCTACTTTGAATACATTCAGTGGAGTTTTTATTCTCCTGGATATGGGCTTAAATCTGCTTATGGATTCCATTTCTTTCCTGTGCTGAGCTTCCATAATTTTCTTAAGCTCATCTATTATCTTATCTTATCTGTATTTGCTCTAACATCACTAAGCATGATGTGTATTTTGGTAATCTCTGTAGTTATCTGAGAAACTATTTCTGATTTCTTTTTTTGCAGAGCCTCAGTCAATTGATTTATTATTACCACTTCAAAGAGACCTGGTGGGGTCTTTTGAATTGTCCACTTCATTGCTCCCCGAATTTACCTTTGGTGAACTGGATATTGGGGCTTCATTTTGTTCAAGTATCTTCTCATTTTACTTTCTCTTTTTTAAAGTTTAATTCCTTGGGTAATGCTTGTAAGTTGCCTATAGTGGGTTACTTTATTTATTTATTTTTAAAGTTTAAAATTTTTAAAAATTTTTTGGTATCAAAGATCAAACTTATGACTGCATGCTTACAAGACGGGTGCTTATGCCGTTGAATTAAATCCCTGGCCCTATGGTGGGTTACTTCATTGGTAGTATTTAGGAACCTGAGGTGATGATTACTTCTCTGAGGTGTAGCTGGTTTTGGGGTTTTGAATATTTTGGAAGATTTTTCTTTCTCAGTTTGTTGAAGATGAGAAGTTGCTACTTATTTGGCCTAGTCCCTGGTTCTTTGGCATTGTGCCACCATATTTTCTTTGACCCTTAGTTAATCTCAGTCATGGAATACCTGGACGAACATCTGTTGAGAACAAGTATGTCAATTTTGGCTATAGCAGTATCAATAGCATCAAATACAGTCTAGAAAATGACAAACTGAGCTAATCCTTAATTTTCAAGTTTTAATCATATGAACTAGATTTGTAATTACATAACAAAATGTAAGACAAACGAGATAATTATATGAAACTATATAAATCTGCAGTGTGTAAATTTTGTCCTGAGGGGTTAAAATTTAAAATGGATTGAGGATAAAATAGAAAAATGGAAGGAAAGAAAGACATTAGAAGTAAGGTTGGAGTATAAAGGGGAATCACACTAACTTTGGGAAACTGGTGCAGAAGACTGAAGGAAAAGAGCGATGGAAGAGAGAAAAGGAAGAATAGAACAGAACCACAGCCACAAAGAATTTAGGAACCACTTTCATATTCACAAAAATCAGTAAAGGGGAAAGTGAAGAAAAGAAAAAGAAAAACAGTCCACTTTAAGGATTCTCTGATTTCACTAGTAGACAACCTGTGGAGACAGAGTCCTGAATCAGGCTTATTTATTCCATCAAGCCAGCAGTTGCTTTTTGGTGGTGTGGTGGATAATCTCAGCAGTCCTGTCCTGAGACCAGATACATTGGGCTTGCTGTAATCCAAGAAATTTCCGTGGGTCTTTACCCAGCAGGGAGCTGCTAAACAAGGCCAGCAGCAATTCTGGGATCTGAGCTCAGTCAGCTAATAACTGTCTCCCTGTGGGAGGAATAAGTCCTCTGCACTCACTATCATCCAGTGGAGTCTTCCATATTTGCTGCTCCCCTCCACTGCTGTGTCTCTCTGCAGAGGTTTCTGTGGTTGCCAGCCATCACCATCACCTTGACTGTGGGTTCCCAGGTTCAAACATCTCCTCTTGTGTAGTGAGCTCTGACTCAGGGTGAAAGTGCACTGGCTACTGAGTTCTTCCTTGAAGTTTTTCTTTTTACTCTCTCTGTGGGACTCAATTCACACTTCAGATTCTTATTGAGTCTAGGGGATCCACTTCTTTTCTTCTTGTCTTCCTCATGATGCTATATTCCAGTGTCTGCACAGTAACTATCAGAGAGGCTGTGTTTTCTGTTCTTCATCACTCCACTATCTTTCTGGAAGTCTATCAGAAATTTTTTGTTTTGTTTGGATTGGAAATTTTGCTCCTGGTCCACCTTCTTTTCATTTGATTCTGACTGTATTTAGTTATGGAGGGGTAGGATGGATTTTCTACAAGGTCCCATGCAGTTTTGTTGAGTTTTTCTACCCATACTCTAGGATTATGCCTGCCATTATTGTTCTGTCAGGGAGGCAGGCAAACTGGTATCAGCATGTAGAGACTACAGCTGAGATTGGAGCCCACACACACTCTCCTGGATGAGGGAATATCCATCATGCCATGTTCTCTATTCCAGGGACATGTACTGTGCATGTAGCTTCCTCACACGATGGACTAGCTGTGCAGGCCACTTTCTTCCATCCCCAATGGTCCAACTCAAGCACAACTATCTACCTGATTATTTCCATAATCTCCTAACTTGTTCCCTGTTTTCATCCTTGGCTTTCTACAGCCTACTCCAAAGAACATCTTTTAAAATTGGATATCAGTTTATTGCTTTGAGTTCTCTAAAACCCTATCATTTTAACTCCTGAGAAGTAACCATGACTCTTGATCTTTGTTTCCTTTTCTCATCACTTTTGTCCATACCACTCGTAGTTGCCAGACCACCTTGCTTTTTCCTAGGTGAATCAAGCATGCTTTTGGTTCAGAGCTTTTCTCTGCTACTTCCTTAGTGGATCATGCCCACACTTGCACCAGGTTCTCTGCTTAAGTCACCTCTGTGAAAATCTGTGTTATCTAAAATAAGACATTTTTGTTATTCTCTTTCCCCATACTGTTTTGTTTTGCTTTGTAGCTCTTACCACTGCCTGAAATGTTACTGTGTGCTCAGCACTGTGTGTTCAGTACATTCCCAGCTACAATGAACACCCGAAAAGAAGAGGTTCTGTCCTGTGCATTCCCACTGGTTTTCCAGACTCCAGAACAATGCCTGGTAGAAGAGGTACAAAACAAATGAACAAAGTAATGATCATGATGTAGGGGTGAGACTATGTGTACATAAGAGGAGGGATAACTTCTGAACAGACTGGACTATAGACATCACCAAAGGTTAAATATTTTGCATTTTCCCTAATTGATCTTTGGTCTATGATATTCCCATTATAAAACTTTCCTACACCCTTCTAGAGATTGTTACTGTCAGTATCCTAAAGCCTGAGAAGGAATACCAGTTATTATCTAGTTATCTCAAATCATTCTCCAGCATTTGGAAATCTCTTTGAGGAAACTACTTTCATTTGAGATCATGCTAGAAGGTAAATTTCCTTTCAACTTTAAAGAATGAATCCTCCCTGAATTTTAAATGTAAATATGTGAATTAAAAAAAACATAAAATAAGGGTTTAAAATATTCTCTCTGCTTCGGAATTAGACACTGCATTAGATATTTAGGTCTGATGTTTAATGTTCTCCATTTCCTAGATTATAGGTCAACTATATTTGCTGAGCATAATAAATCCAAAGAGTACACTAACCTTACCTGGAGTGGTAGAAAGTTTACTCTGTGTTCCCCCACTGATTAAAAAAGACCTTCTATATGGTTGGCAAATTTAAGCCAAACATGTGTATCCTTTAATCAGCATGGGGCTTTTTGCAAAACTGATAGGTATAAGACAATCATCTCGGATTCTTTTAAAGAAGACATTCAATATTGGGGAGGTACTTTATAGGGAGATTTATCAAAGAATGCTTGCACATGAGATGTTAATACAAATGTGCATTTCAAAATCAAATACCTAAATGAACAGCAATGAAAGACTGATTTTTTTGAATTATTTTTTGGTATACAGACATAGTTGTTATTTGAATGAGCCACTTTATACATATTTCACAACTTTGTCTAATGAGACCCCTTTGATAGTACTATAATTTTTGTAATAGAACAGCTGAGATGGTAAGTGACTTCCTATGACCACAGCTGGCTAAGCTGTGGAAGAAGTTCTACATGACTCCACGTTGCTGCAGAACTGGTTTAAGTTCAACATCACCTTCATTAAGGACTTAATACTGAGCTGTAAGAGATATTTTGTTTCTCCTTCCATTAGTTTACTTACTCTCCCCACTACTCTTTCAGGTCTTCTGAGTTGATCAAAATTTACCAGCCATTATAATTCAAACAAGAGAGCATTACTGCTTGTAGAATAACTGTAAGGCTCACAAGATTTAGTCTTGTCAGTTAATTTCAACATAGACTTTGAAGAACTGATGAAAGGGAAAGCATCAAAATGTCAAAGTCTCCTGTAAGGATCTTCCCTTTAGCTGGGTACCACATGTTTTCAGTCGGCCATATGGAGGGAGATATGGACTAATGAACATTTCTTGGTAATTGTAGCTTTGACTTTGGCTTTTCTCATGGGAACTGTAGGAAGGGGTAATTTGAGAAGGTAATGTACTGGCCGCTAATGGTGGGGCGTTAATGGTCTTCCTAAGTACAGAAAGAGAGAGAACATCACTTTTTTTCAGTCAGTGAAGCCAAATCTGGGTAACCCTGTTTTATAACATGTTCACCAGGAGCTGTAATTTGTGCATTTGCTGCTAGATGGCTCTGAACCACTAGGAGTACATGCATGAGTGGCCCATCAAGTGACAGGGGATAGTCCTGATGGTTAGTTCAGGCAACTTAAATGTCAGTCATGCCCCTGCTACCAATGGTATATACTGCCCAGTGGAATAGTCATGCATGTAGGAAGAGTGGCTCAAGCTGGCAGGAATGTGTTCATCAGAAATGGGTGATCTAGCTGTCTTCAGCATTTCAGTGGGAAAAAAAAGTAAAAAGGAAGGCTTGAGTAAAAGATATTATAAAAGGTCTTTTGCAAAGAAAGAAAACTCTTGCAAAGTTATCTTAAAAATAAACTTTATTTAAGGTAAAAGTACAGTTCACTAATAAATTGAAAACATTTATCTAGAGGTCAACAGGACATGACGTGTTCCAACATGCACCTTTAGAGTTCTAAAGATCCTGAGTATGGTAATTGGTTGTATAATGTGGACTCCCGAGGCACTGCATGCTTTTAAATCACATTTTAGTATTGAATTTGACATTTACAAAGGGCACAAGTTTTATGAAAACTAATAATTTTGTCCAAAAATGTTTCTCCCTTTGCATGTATGTAAATTTAGAAATACCTACACCTTGGTGTACATTGTCGAATGCCTAAAATTTAATTCTAGTTATAATATCTATCAGTTGAAAGCTGCCATTCCTGTTCTCTTCTTAGACATCTCTTCCTATGTGAAATCTTTAGATTCAGATTTATTGTAACTAGCTTTCTTCCAATATTACCCTCATGCACATATCTATAGAGTCCTTGAGAAATCTTTATCTTTTATTTTGCAATCCAGTAATCTATTTAATTCACTTGCATGAACAAGGAACATAATTCTGGAATATCTAGTATGTTAAAGGCATGACATGTAACTGAATCACTCTGTGTTGTCCTGATGTAGTAGAGCTAGCTTTATATTTCCATGCCCATCATACTGGAAGGGCATCTGAGACACCTGGAAAGTGCTGAAGCATCCTAATATCAGTAGTAAAGGTGACTCAACAAACACATAATCTGTTACCTAGCTTAATTTTAGGATGACATCCTTTTCTGCAGGAGGGTGGTAAGCTCATAGGGTTTGGAATCTTTTGGTTTGCACATCAGCAAGATAGAGATACTTGTCTGTTACGGGGATGTGAAGAGCCAATACAAAACATGACAGCATTTGTTTAACATGGTATTAAACATGTGGTAAGAAATTAAAGGGGACTTAAAATGTTTTTATGGCCCACTAAAGATTATGCAGGCTCTAAATATTTGTTTCTCTGCATAGGCAGTGAAGCTAAAAGACCAAGGCCGACAGACACATACTAGCTATGATTCTAGGGTTTACCATGTAATCCTTTAAGTCTTTGTGCCTATACACGGTGATATCATTACCTGAGTTTCATACTTAGACTTAATTAGAAAGGTGTAAGTGAAAACACTTGACCCAGGGTCACATGCATTTTATACTCATTGAGTAAAGTTACCTTTAATTCTCCTTGGTAAAGTCACTATCAGCTCCTGGACTGTGCTACAAGAAAGAGAGACCATACATTGATAGTGATAATCAGTAGTGATGTCTGCCTTGCACATTATAAATGTTAAACTCTTTGAGTGCATCTCTCTTAATCTTTGCTATGATTAGTAGACAAGATAGTCCCCATCACATCCATTTGACAGAGGGGCTTATTAACCTGCCAAGCTACCACATATCTGGCCTCCCAGAAAACTGCTTTGAGATGACTCAGGCTGCCCTACAGAGTCCACAACCCCCACACTCTGCCTGACTTACTTGTGCCTTAGTGTCCTGGGATGCAAGGAGATGTACAGGACACTGCAACATAGTCCAACTTCAATCCTGTCTCTCAGATGAATCAGATTTAGAAAAATGAGTTTCAGGAGACACCATGGGAAACGGGACTTGGTGTATCTAGGAATCCTCCCACTCGGCCCCTAGGACCTCCTTCTGACTTACATTCAGCTTCGTACTGATGAAGGTAGAACTGACTGAAGTACATAAAAATATGGATGATTATTGTTACATGAAGCTTCTTTGAGCTGAACATCCATGTTAGATTTGAAAGAAATACTCTTTAAATTGTTCACCTTCAAATTAATTCTTCCTATACTTGAAAACAAGATATCTCCAAAGCTTTTTCTAGACTTCTATTTATTCTGAAATTCTCACAATTTAAGCTAATATGACTGAACTACGCATATACAACTTCCAGTTTTCTCAAACATTAGGGCTAAAACAGTAGATTATAAAACGGAAAGGCTCAGATTTAGGGATCAGGATTATTCCAGAATCTAAATTAGCAAAAATATCTGGTTTTTCTTTTCTTTTTAAAAAATAATTTTACCAGCATTAAAAGAAAGAGTATAGGCTTCTTTGGGTTTAAAGTAACACATTATTTGATGAGGAAAGATTTCATTTGGAAAGGATTCTGGGTAATCATTCCAGCTGGCCTACAAAATACAAGAGAAACTCTTCAAGTGAAGCCCCCCACCCCCGAATTTGGTTTGGAGGGAAAACAGTTAAAACCTGCACTTTAGGATCCAAGTTCTGCTATGTACTTAACTGAAGAATTAGTCCTTTAAATGCTCCCTAGTTCTATTGTTTTGAGGCAGTCTTCTCATTTTTTGAGAGGGCCCATAAGACTTCCAAAACATGGAACAGAAAGAAGCAAGTGCCAAATTTAAGCCTCAATATATTTTTTTTGCCAAGAATTCAAGAAGCTTAGAAAGAGGCTTAGAAATGATACCAAGACTTTAAAATAGCTATAACATATTGTGATCTACTAGGACTATTTCCTTCCAAATAGTAGACAGCTTACAAGGAAGCTACTTAAAAATTTGGATTCAAGAGACTTGGCTGGATTTCTTTACTAGGGCCCATAAATCTGTTGATTTTTCTGTTATTTATGGTAATTCCTAAAATCTCTGGAGGATTTACTTTCAGTTATTTTCTAAAACAGGCTCATATAACTCCAAATTACTCATGTAGTGTTTGATAAGCTTCGTATTTTACCTTTTAATTGTCTTCTCCTATATTTAAGCTTTAGAGACACAGCAAAGTTATGCCAACACATCTCACAAAGGATTCTTTAGAATCTTGCTCTGGTGATAAATCTCAGGCTATTAGTACTTCATGAATTATTATTACATGCTGAGTTGACTAGCACTCTAGGCATTTAATTCTTATCTCAATATAACTATAAAGTTACCTCATTTATTTTTCCAAATGAGTTTGTACCTCTTAAGTTAGATACAAGGTGCTGTAGCTTGGATTTTTACTGAGGACAAGGTAAAGAAAATGAAATGCTTTAGACACTTTCAGGGTCAGAAATTGGTATCCATAACTTGAAAGAACACATATAATGGATTGTAAGCCTAAAGAAGGTAGGAGAGAATAATGCTTTATTTTATTTGCAAAACTATGACTTTGAGCCTTATAATTAATTTACATTGTACACCCTTATAACAGGGAAAAACATTGGAATCTTTAAGCTTCTAAAAGAGAATTTAGTATTACTTCAATTAAAAAAATAAATCAGCGGCTTTAGTACCATAGTAAGATCAAAGCACCAAAGAAATGAACTTAAGAGTTCAGATATGATAAATACCAACCTACTTACCAGATCGGCACTTCAGCCAGTCCCTGTCAGCAAGCCATATTGGTATGTTCACTGTTCATTCTCATGAGTACGTAGAGGTACAGAACAAGTGGGCAGCAGACAGGCCTACCTTAATGTCTCCAGCCTTTTCCTTCTGCATGGTTGACTTCCATACCCCCCATAAAATAAATGTCAATGTCTAGCCTTTCTCTTTCATCTGTTTGGCCAAAATTTCAAAGGAGTACAAATGAGACAACAAAATTAACTTCCTCTTCATCTATGATTAATCGTCTCCTTACCTAATCCAAAAGCAAGAATGCTTTCTATTCCATATGCAGGCGTATTATGTTTCATTGAGTTTTGTACCTACTCGGACATCTTCTGCTCATCTTCTTGCTGTTGCACTTGGGATTAATTCCAGATGGATTAATGCATCTTCTGAAGTAGATGCCCCACTGCACATTGAACCTACAGCATCTTCTCAGTGTTTAAACCTTCGCATCCTCCTTTGCTTCCCGATATCTGGAGACTTCAGAGTAAGGAAGTGATGACTAACCTCACCATACACAAACTCATTTGCTCTTTATACTAAAAGTTCCAGAAGTTTCCTACAGAAGGAATCTGTCCTAGTCTAACCAGGCTGACAATTTTGAAGATACTACAATGATATTCTCCATGAGTCACCTTAGAACAGTGGTTATCAAACTTTAGGTTATATAAGTGTCATGGGAAGGGGCTGTGAAAACAGGGATTCCTGGGCCCCGACCCCAGAGTTTCTAATTCAGAAGGTCTGGGATGGTGCCTAAGAATGTGTATTTCTACCAAGCTCCCAGATGATACAGATACTGATGTACCTGGGACCACACTGAGAACCATCACTTTAGATTCAAGAGTGATGCTGGTTGATATTCTTCCTAAGCATTTTCCTAGTAAGACAGAATAGACTTCCATAAGAAAAAAGCCCTCCCCTAGGCCTTAGAAGGCACTTGTCCTTGATCTGTATATGACAGAATATGGAAAACAGAATTGTGGACGAAGCAGAAGAATTCTTACAAATTTCAAAACATGCTTCTAGATCAAAACAAATTAATAAGAAAAGGAGCTCTTCTATAATCAAGAGGAATTCTGGGTACAGACTAAGGAAGTTTCTTTTACAAAATGAGAAACATTTGAAGAGAAAATGTTAAATGGTACCTTGTCTTTAGTTAGTACTTGTTTGTAAAGAAGCTTGCTCAATTATAGGCTTAGATATACAACAAAGGTGCAGCTCATACATTTAGCTAGAAGACTTATACTTACATAAGCTATTTTTAACAATTCATTGTAGAGGAATAGGCACAAACCATGGTTAAGCTGCTTGATTTAATTTTTAGCACTTGAAAAAAATGTACAGTAGTTTGAACTCTCAGTCTTTGTAAACCTCCATTGAGGTCAAAGAATTCATTCATACGTACAAAATTAGTTTACAAATTTTTTGGCAATTTCATTTTAGTAACCCGTTTTATCCTATTGCCATTGTCCCAACCATTGAAAAAGTTTACAATAATTTACATAGAAATATTTTCAAAGTGCTTAAGAATAGTGATTGTTCTCTGGGATATTTACAGATGGCCTATACAATGTATGTACAGGTGGTATACACTATAGCACAAGTTTCATTGCTGGAATATGGCTTTCTAGGGAAAGTGCATATTTGGCCAGAGGCGGCAATACTGTCTAAAAATTCAAGGGTTACAGATACTTGGTAACCACATCCAAAGCTGAAGTAGAATGTGGACAAGAATATTTACAAAAATAATATAAAAATTGTCAAGTATACAAGTTTGATCCACACAAAGATATCTTCATGATCTTCCAGATGGGAGGAAGAAAGAGACTTCAGCTGCAGGCTCGGTTACCATCCCAAAGTGGCTGTTATTGGTTTAAACAAACTCAAAGGTCACCATGGGTCTCAGAAGTCACGCTAAATCATCATCTGTGCTTACAACCGATATCTGTGGACAAGAAAACGTTCAGAATGAGCCTGGTGATTACTCACTGGTGACAATTCTGCTCTATAACAGACTTTTTTGAGTTAATCATTCAAAGACCTGAAGAACTTAGAAGTCAAAAACAAGATGGTGCTGAGTTGTTAGCGCTCATGCATTTAACTTAAATTCAAACTCCCTAACTGGAAAAATGTGAAATATGAAATGCTGAATATTCGAAACTTTCAAAACACTAATATGACACCACAGGTAAGAAATTTCACCCTTGACCTCATGTTACATATGGGTTGCAGTCTAGCTGAATGTGTACTAAACTACTTTATTAAATTACCTTCAGCCTATGTACACAAGGTTTGCATGAAACAAATGGATTTTGTATTCAGACTTTCAGAAAGTCTGAACTTTCATTATGTGTATGTTAGTATTCCCAAATCTGAAAAACTCTAAACTCTAAAACATTTCTGGTTCCAAGGATTTGAAAAAGGGCTATACAACCTGAACCTAAAATAGTATGATTGATTTTTCAAATTCTATATAATGATCATAATCCTCAGGAAAAAATATGAAAGACACATGGTTGCTACCAATTTACCATTATTATATATGTCTCCAGAGAACTCAAGAGGGGCATGCTCAGTGCATGCTTCATTCAGCTTGTTACTTACTGAAGATCAATACTCACTTGGCTTTCATCTGAGGGATAAATGAATAACTCTACCTTTGAAAGAAATGCTAGCTACTCTAGGAGAAAAGGGTACTTTTCTAAACAAAACAGTCAGTACTTTTGGCTACATTGATTTAAATCAACTCAACTATATATAATATATGCACAGAGATGATTTACATGTATGTATACAGAAGCCAAAGATTTCAGTTTTAAAAGAAGCTGCTTGGTTTGTGCTAATATGTTGTTTCTACAAAAAACAAAAACAAAACAAAAAACCCTCACACACTGTAGTACAGAAATGACCTTAAATTGACCTACTTGACATCTTGTGTGGGTGAGATGCTCACTAACTGACTTATGTTCCAAGAGGCTACAGTCTGATACTTGATTCTAATGGTTGTCCCCAGCCCAAACAGCCATAGCTCAAGTTAGTGGTATCCTTTTAGAAGTGTCTCCCTTCAAGTCAGGGTGCACAGAAACACAAAGCCGACTTACTGCTGGGTACGTGTGTCCGACATTAGCGCTGTGTCTACCAATGTCTATAGAGAGGTCCTCTTCCGTGGTCTTCAAGTACACGGGATTGTCAAAGTTCATGCTCTTCATGTTCTTGTGCTGCCAGTTCCTCCACATCAGGTAGCCGCCCACTGCTGCCATGGCTAAGAGCACTGCAAAAGGTTAGAAGGCAACGAAATGAGGTCAGCCTCCAGAACACATGAAAAAGGCAATGTCAGGGACCCATGATAATTGACATTAATAAAAGGTTCATGCTTCAGAGAGCTGTGAGGTAACAAAAAGTTACAATATCAATGAGCAGAATGCTGTAATAAACTCAGCTCAGTGATTGTGTTTTTCTATGCACCCAAACTGACCCAGCCACATCCAGCCAGGCAAGCAGAGTCCTGGGCCCCACCCGTTGACCAACTAAATCAGCCTTCCAGAAGCTATTGAGGTAGTCCTGGAATGTTAAATAAGGTTGGAAGTGAGTAATCTGGGTAAGAAACCATTATAGCAAAGTAGTTTATATGCCTGATAATGGCTTCAGAAGTCCTTTTCCTTGGACTTGAAAATCCTTAACTACTTTGAATTTATCCTCTACAAGTCCTATAACTCTTTAAGAAAGCATTTAGCAACTTCTTTGCATGAAGCAGCGTAAACATTTAGAAAGGGAACAGAATGGAACTCTTGTTAAAGGGATTTAGGGTAGTTGGGGCTGGGCCACCCTAAAAACTCTGAAGTGGAAGGCAATGAGGACCTTTTATGTAATTGATGAACACTCACCACTAACTGCTAGTGTGCTGTGGACAAACTAGAGAGAAACCGTGGCCCCTTCGTGTACTGTGTGGAGTGGGTAGTGAATGTACTTTGGTATCACAAGCACTGTGACAGTACACAGGAAGGTGAGTTCGGGTGAACTGGAAATGTCCATCTGTTATCCAAGAAACTTATCTGATCCACACATAAGGGGAATCTACTTACAGAGGGGAAGGATGGCCCAGGCAGCAGAAGTTCCTTTTGGGGGAACACTGACCTCTGGTACTGCTGTGGTTACATTGATCCCTACAGAGCAATAAAAGGAATCAGTGTATAAGAACTTGAATTTAGACTCAGAAATCTATCCTTGTACTTTTGCACTCAATATTGATGTCCAATGTCTTCTACATTTATATACTCCAAAAACTCTAGCCTAGAAGTATTTAAATCATATGCTCTAAGAGCCATTTCACTAACAGCTCCACAGCAGAAACATTAATAAGGGTGGGCAACTCAGGAAATGTAGATTCTAAGTCTTTGAAATTTAAATATAGGTTATCAATAAGGGGCTGAGCTAGTAATTAATGGCTGAATAATTGCTTAAGCTATAAAAAATGTGGCTGTTAGTTGAGATTAACAGTTTGCAGCACTAAGCCCAATACCTCCAGGAACTAGTCCACTAGTTGGTAGAATTTTTGTTGTGTTGGTGTCTTTTGACTCACTGTAAGCCACAGTAGTTGCAGTACCTGGATTGTAAAAATCAAGAACCTGGTTAATGCCAAGGTTCCTGAATGGCTAGCGGTTCAGTTCAGACAAGCCATGCAAGTAGTCATTTTAACACCAGGTGCAAGGGACAAATCTGTGCTGGCCTAAGTTTCCTAGTGGATGTGCCGAGACTGAGAGAAATGACTTTTGGGCAAAAATAGACACATCACACTAAGGGTGGAACAATTAACCTGTGGAATTTGACAACTGAAAAGATGTACAGCAACACTTAGCAACCATTCTTAACAACATCCCAGACTTCAGGAAGTTACAAGAGAGATTCTCAGGCTCATCAAATTGCCTTGCAACTACTTTCTCAGTAATGACGAAGTCTCTGTCATGTCACAGAATTAAGCCAACAAGAATCTCATCATCGGAGTCTCTCGCTTGCAAGTAGGTTTAATTTGCCACTTAATTGAATGTTAAAACAAAAAGATTGAAAGACAAGTTCAGTTTAAGTTCCTGTTATCCATGAGGCCAGTTGTGGTAAACCTAAGGCACGTGTGCCACAGCTGGCTGTTTGTTATTACTGAAAGCTCTAAAAGGTTCACCATCACTGCATTGGGCCATGAGATTTCTCATAACCAATGCCTCCCTTAAGCATAACTTTTTTTCCCTTAAGCACAATTTTACTCAGGCTTCTGTGGAAGGGAATGGTAAGACTTTGTTTAATTCTCTGCAAGTCAGCCAGCTCTCTGCTGTTATTGACTAACTGGTACAAATTACCATGAGGCATGTTGTTGATACCTTAGTATCCTATGAATTTGCCTAATGTTGACATCGATTGCAAGTTAGTCACAAGCCTAAATACCAAAATGAACTCATGACATGCAACAGTAGAGGATATGTTCTCAAAGTTATTTCAGGTTAGCAAAAACAATTCTTAAAAACCCAGGTCAGCTTTTATAGTTAGTGGTTTATATTGCCTATGTATGTTTTTGAAACACAAAAAGCCTTACTTTGGCATTGTCGCCCATTTTCCTCTAGATTATACCCATTGGGACAGGAGCAGGTATACTTTGGAGAGTGCTCATTAATTTGTGGTGCTGGCAGGCACAGGTATTCACATCCTCCATTCTCCATGTCTTCTTCACACCAGTTTTTACCTGCTCAGAAAAGAGGCCTTTAATATAGGTGTTCCAAAGCCTACTGTTTATACTCTTTGGCTTCATGGAGCTTGGACTTATCTACCCTGTCAAATCTTCAAGTGAAACTAGTATCAATGGAAAGTAGCTACCAGGGTAGAGGCAGCAATATCTAAGAACTCCAGGCTCAAAAAGCTTCTTGGTGGTAGAGTAAGAGCTACAGTATGTCTTCAAAAGACAGGCGCCAAGGGTAGAAATGGCAGGAAGAGAGTGAATGTGTGAGTGTGTCTCTGTGGGGTATGCATGTATGAGACAGAGACAGACAGACAGACACACAGATGGACAGTGTGTGTGTGTGACCAAGACTGGCTCTTATTATTCATCCAAGGCAATATCATGAAGGCTCGAAAGGAGGTAGCACATCTTTTCCTGGCTTTCCTTGACTTTCTCTTACAAAGCAGAAGGAAATTCAGCAACAGGAGATTTGAGATAGACCAGATGAATGTTCTGAGAGGGAGAAAGTGTCTGAGGATCTGTACAATCCTGCATAAGAGATTTCATAGTGGGGAGGTCAGTGTTATGAGTTCAACTGTGTCTCCTCCTAAAATTTGTGTGATGAAGTCCTAACGTTCTGTACTTTATTTGGAGAAAAGGTCTTCAGAGATGTAATCAGGTTAAAATGAGCCATTAGAGTTGACCCTATTCCAGCCTGCCTGGTTTCCTTCTTAGAAGAGGAAATTTGAACACACCATGTGTAGAAGAAAGATGATATGAGCAGACATAGGAAGGTGGAGAAGGGCTAGGGAGAAGGGCCAGCGACATGTCCTTCCTTCAGAGTCCTCAGAAGGAACCAAGCTACGCAAACCTTGATTCTGGACTTCTAAACTCCAGGACTATGAGACAACAGACTGCTGTTGTTTAAGACACCTAAATGGTTGTACTTTGCTATGGCAACACTACAAAGTAAATAGTAGAGAATGTTTGTGCCATAAAAGGCTACTATGAAGTCTGGGGCAACAGGCTCAGTGAGATGATGGCCTAGAGGCTATGGAAGAAACAGAGATAAAAGTTCTGACATGGAGAGTTGAAAGGTAGCTAAGAGCAGATGTTCTGTACTTCTCTCAAGGAGATGGTAGAAATAAGGTACCAAACATTTAGGGTACAGAGTTGAGTTGGGGAACAGAGGCAACAGCTCCATTTTAAGGAAACTTGAGCTGCTGAAGAGCTACCCACCCAGAAGGTTTTGGGTCATGCTGCTGCCTCATAGTGGTCACTAAAGACTGTGCTTCCCCACGTTACCTGACGGCTGTACGAGCTCATGATAGATGATGATGTCTTGGGCATCGTTCAGGTTGTTGACCAGAGTAGCCAACTCTGATCCAGTGAATTTATTGGCACCATAAACTGCTTCATTTTCCCCATCTATCCAGTACACACGGTCCTAAAACAGAACCTTAGTAATTAGTATATATACCAACAAGTGAATTATCTGAGATCATCGTTACTTATTGACTCCCTCATGGACTAAGGTTTACATCTGATGAAAAATTAGAGGTAAAACTGGAAGGGAAGCAAAGGTTTCCCAAAGTGCTTCGAGGAACTGGTATTCATTTTTTACCAGGTTTTAAGTGAAAGTAGTTTTTCATGGTGTCATATGCTTTTCCCTCCTTTCCCTTGGCCTAATCTTTCTCCTCCAAGTCCTGTAACAACTAAATGCGAGACACAGATCTTACCTCAAATATTGTTAGTGCAAGAGGGTGAGCCAAGAATTCCAGAGACTTTAGGACTATCCTACGATCTTGGCCATTCAAGTCCACGCTGGAAAGCATGTGCAACTTGGAATCAAGCCAGTAGAGGCGACTTTTTATAAGGTCTAGGTAAGAAAAGAATAGACACAAATGGAAGCTATTACTTCTCTGGTTTCTGAGTAAAAGATTTGAGGAATTTCATATACTATAGTGGTTCTTCATCCAACAGGGATTCTTAAGGAGGAGTCTCAAAGAATTTGCAGAGCAGCATACAGAATCTATATCTACACTCATTTGGAGGACTAACAGGGTATTTAAAGATCTCAAGGTAACTTCCTGAAGACATGTTACACTGCAGAAAGTACTAAAACAGGCTAGCATTTTTGTCCTTTGTCTGGGATGAGCCAGAACAAAAATGTGACAAGATTGCAGTTGTGGAAATGCTAAGGCACCTTTGCAGGGAGAATTCAGTATTTGCTGAATTGGTGTCACATGTAGGCAATGTGGAGAACAAGCTAGTCATCATGGGGCCTGTAAGTTGTTAATTTCAACGTTCTACTTGTGTTACTCAATTAACTCTTGTACAAAGTTCCTGCTATGGAAAGAGTCAAGAAAGACAACTGGTGTAGCCCAAAATTTATTATGGAGATGAGTTAAGACACTTTGAAAATAGCTAAACTGGTGGGCAAGAAGCAAAAACATACATACCAAGTGTAATTCCATTAGGCCACTGGATGTCCACGGTCACCAGTGGGCGCCTATCAAATCCATTCATTCCTGCTTTTTCTATTTTAGCTGGTTCACCCCAGTCTGACCAGTAAACAAAGCTGGTAAAAACACAGAGATACACCTGAGAGGTTTAGAAGGAATAAATTTGTAGCTCGAAGCAAAAGTTTAAAAAGGAAATAGGAAACTCTAGAGACTGATTCTCTAGAAACAGTAACACTTTGGGGTTTTAAGTATGGTCTAGGTAAATAAAATTTAATGCTAAAAATCTACAAACTCATTATTAAATGTATTAATCTCTATCAATCTGACATTTAAATTTCAGTCCAAAGTCACATGGTTATGTATATCCTTTTTAAATGGAGAATTCTTCAAGAGAAGTAAATGAATCTCCTATAAGTTTAATATTAGACACTGGCTGATTATGTTCAAATGATACTTCATGGAGGCCAATTGTAATTACTCTCTCCCGTGCCCTCTAACTGCCTGACACCACCTTACTGCCTTATCATTTTAGTCTTTGTGATCAGCACACATTGCCATTCGTCTGTGTGTGCATCTCAGAATTACCTGATCAGAGAAACTGCAACTAATTTAGTCAGATTCTCTTTAATCTAAAGTGCCTCTGAGCTTCAGAAATCTTCTGTCAATTTCCTCTTGGGCCACTGACTAGCCTGAAGAAGGATGGCACTGATATGACTACCTGTCCAGTTTAGATCCATTACAAAAGTCAGGACACAGTGATGTAAGGAAGCACAGAGGGCTCCATTGCTCATGGGTCAGGGGTAGGGTAACAGCCTCTCCTGTACCCATTTCAGAGATCTCTCTCAGAAAAGAGGAGAAAACAAAATACCCTACTTGTGCACAAGATAATATAAATTTCATTTGCAATTTTCCAAATTATTTATTACTTGACTCTGTTTTTCTACTTGAAGTATACACTGATATAAAAAGGTGCTAACATTTAATGCTACTATGCCTATAATTTCTGTCTTTAGGGTTTTTTTTTCTTAACTATATTCCAGAATGGTAAAATATTACAGAAGGTATCCAGAGATTGTGAATAGTTTCTGACTGCATGTTATAGTCATTCAAAGTTGTTGTTTAACCACGTTCTAAAATGCTAGAAAATTAAAGATGAATCACACTTTATGAATAAGCTTTCTTATACCTGTTCTCTTTATCTTCCAAAACAACAACAAAATCAACCTTAGTCAACTCCCTAAGATGCTGGTTTATGTTACTTAGTTGCCATTTAGGGAAACCCTTCAATGAAATGTTTATAGGAAAGTTTTTTTTTTTTCAATAGAACTTTTAAACAAATTGTACTTTTAAATGGCAGTCTTAAAGCAATGTGGTTATCAAACCCCCAACATTTCATGTTACTATTTAGGTCGGCTCATCCTTAGCTAGCCCAGAAGCACGTGCAACCAAAACAAAATCACTGGTAAAGAAGCTAAGTAGAGATGAGTTTTCAAAGTTTCAGACACAGCTTTGGGTGTGTAGAACACATGAGATCTTAGGTATTGTTTCATTAATGCCAACAAGCAGTCAGATATACAATGAGGACCTGTCATACAGAGGAGATATTCCAACAAGGCACCACTGACATCCTGAACCAGGTAACTCATAAGTCTTGGGATGTGTGATGGGAAACAGAATACAAACCCAGACAGTGGGTCCACGGCTATGGAGGCAGGTTCTCGCAAGTCAGAGTTGAATAGGAACTTCCTCTTGGTCCCGTCTAGGGTAGCTACTGAAATAGTCTTAGAAGCCGCATCAGTCCAGTAGATGGTCTTGTACACCCAATCAACAGCAATGGCTGCAGGATTATAGACATTGTCGATCATTTTAACATGTCTACCAACCTTGTCATCAATTGAGGCACTGAAACAGAATAGGTCACAAGAAATTTAAGAGTTTGTCACCAGAATCTGGTGAAGGAACTTTCTGCCTATAAAATGGTCAGGGACTTTATTCAGAAAGGACAATATCATAGCTAATAACTTCATAGCTTACCACTCAAAATATTCAACCATGATGCTTGCTGATGCTAAAGAATTACTATATTACTAATAATCTAGGTGTTGATATTTACTCTGCATACAAACAGAATCAAATTCTAAGTGAAGCCTTTGGTTTCAGTAGCCATCACCTGAGTTCTCTACAATTCCCATTTTAAAAAGTTGCTGCTGCCAACATTTTTGTTTGTAGCAATAAAAAAAAGTTCTCAATTGCAGACAAAGGGAGAAAATATGAGAAATAAAGTGATTTGCTGCTATCTTCCATTGGTAGTCATATCTTCATAAAATTAATTTCTAGTTACAAACTGACAGTAAATTTGATAATTAAAGAATCACTGTTGGAATTAAATTCCTAGGTAAGTAAATGGTGCGTTGGAGATATAGACAAGAGAAACTCCTCCAAGCCTTCCCACAGGCTAAGAAAGGGAACGGAACTGAATGTTACCTGAAGATGGCTTTTTGGCTCAGATCAGCCCAGAATAGTTTCTGAGCAGCAATATCAGCATCAAGAGCCACAGTGTTTCGTAGCTGCTCAACTAGCTGGATATATTCTTTCCTCTCTAAACCAATCTTCCTGATGTCTCTTCGGTTAGTGAAGATCAAACTTGGTTCTTTTCCTGCAAGACAAGAGTGATATGAACTCAGCTCTTCTATAGGAAAGCAAGGTCGGCTAAGTCATCTCCTCCCGACAGAGGAGCACTTACAAAGCAAAGGAACCACTGAAAGCAGCAGCACCCAGTCTGGAGTTTCTGCCCATGGGACCTGAAAGTGTTTCCCATGTTTTAGGGAGGCAGTCCTGGTGTTACACTGTTCAACAGTAGGGCGGTTGATGAACATGTTACTTATAGGAATTGTACTTGGTTTCAGAAGCAGAAAGTAAGCAAACCTGCTAAGTGTTCATGTTATCATATGCAAAAGGAATGACCAAGGCAGATGCATGGGAAGATGACTTGCTATATAACCTATCCTGCTGCCCTAGGAGATTAGTAGCATTGCTCTCAAGTACTATTTTAATTTCAAATCTAGCTTGACTGTTGCCATCATTGGCTGTACCTTTTATAAGCACTTACTCATAAAGGTACCAGGGCAACACCAGTCCAAATCCATTTACCTACTGCCTTGCACACGCCAGTGGCAAGATCCATTTGATAGCCACGACTACATTCACACTTGTAACCGCCTTTTAAGTTGATACAAATTTGACTGCAGATTCCCGGATTTTGGCATTCGTCAATATCTAGGAGGGAAATTAGAATTAGTCTTGCTGTTCCTATACCTTGCTAGATGTATACTGCCCTTGCCCATCTCCCCGGGAGCTAGGTTATCTCCTTCAACTCACCTCCACAGGTTTTCCTATCTATCAGCTCAAACCCAGCTGCACAGTCGCATTCATAGCCTATAACTAGGTCTTTGCAGATGTGGGAACATCCACCGTTATTTACCAAGCATTCATTGACATCTAGAATAAAAATACATCCAAATTACTTGACAACTTATTCTCAAATGACATTTGTCTTGCTACACCTAAAATCTAGGTTATTTGTGGTAATTTACCTAGAAGGCCTGGTCAAACTCATGGTTTTTCTAAGAACCAATCATTGTTTTTATAGATATTCTTCCTATCAATTCCAAGATGTATGTTAAACCCCATATCCTTGGCAAATTATTAATGAATTAAGCAGTAACCACCTTTCTTTATTGTTAATAAGTTAATGTTTTAAGAGGTTAAATGATGAACTAGTTGGTTACTGTCTACACTTTTTAAGTCACAACACTTTGCTTTCAAGTCTAACAATTAAATTTTGGTTCATCCAGGAATTCCCAGGGTGTGACCAGCATAAGCCATGGTGGGCTGAAGCCCAGTTCTATCCTCCAGCAAAGCTTCACTTACGACATTCTTTCAGGGGTTCATCACTCCAGTCTCTGCAGTCCTGCTGCTGGTTACATACTTTGAGGATATCTATGCATTCGCCACTTCTGCACTTGAATTTTCCAGGGCCTAAGCACTGATTGGCTACAAGGAGAAACACAGAAGGGTGGTTCCATTGGTGGATATGATCAAAGCAACCCACACATAACTAACATGAAAAATCCTTACCATTTTTGCAGTTGACTTCATCAGAACCATCCACGCAGTCTCGGATGCCATTACACTGTCTGCTGCCATGGATGCAGCTACCGTCCTCACATTCAAACTGGTCAGGTCGGCAGGTTCGAGAGGCTGGGGAGGAAGGGAACAGCAGGGAATTAAGCCACCCAAGCTGCCCCCACCCCCACTGGTACATGGAAGAAAATGAAATATGCCATGCTGATAAGAAAGTGACTTACGACAGTTAACCTCATCGCTGCCATCCTTGCAGTCAGGATCCCCATCACATCGCCACTTTTTGTGGATGCACTCGCCGGAGCCACACTGGATCTCACTGGCCTGGCACTTGGTGTGCATCACTGGTTGGCGGCCACACTGCTCAAGGGACTCATCGGACTGGTCTGCGCAGTCTGCATCATCGTCACACACCCAGCTGAGGGGGATGCATGAGGAGGTGCTGCACTGGAACTCGTGGGCACTGCAGGTTGGAGGAGCACAGTCAAGCTCATCGCTGCCATCGTTACAATCATCCTGGCCGTTGCACACGAAGTTTCTGGAGATGCAGCGGCCACTGGAGCAAGTGAACTCGTCAGGGCTACACGTTATGTTGCCTGTTAAGACAGAAGATGCCCCCATTGAGCGGACATCAGTTTTTCACAAGACTTATACCAAAATCAAATATATTGATTTGATCATTCTTTTTAGCTTCCTAGCTTAGCCTTAAAGGAATGGTGGAGTTACATCAAGAATAAATTCTTGAAATATGCAAAAAAGTCTCACTGTGTAAAAAAACTGCAAGCACACTATGAATAAGAACAGAAATAAAGGATCAAAAAAATAGCTGAAGACTAGAAATTAATTTGAGACAAAAACCACAATTGACTCACAAAGGTACAGTGATCAGTAACTTAAGAGTTGTAAGTAATTTCACTTTAGAAGGCAGAGACTGAGCTACGCCTAAATCAGCATGCTGTGTGTCAGACCAAACCATCGCTAGCTGAGAATATCATGCATCATGCAGAGAAGATGCACACTAAGGTGCTATGACCAAAAAGAAGTAAATCACAAACACAATACATGCTTCCTTCTCTTTTGATCCTTTAAATGAGGATCAGGAATAACAAGTCTTAAACACTTTTAAACAGTCACTGCCACTGCTAGAATCACAATTTTGTAATCAGGTCTGAAGATAATAAGAAGTTGTCATATTAGCTGGTTTGTACTTCAATTTAAATTCCTGCCAAACATATTAAGATCACAATTTGATGGTAATTGGAATGGAGACCATGACTCTCTTGGGAAGCTAAGTCTAGATTTATGAGGGAAATACTTGGCAGCTTACCAATACATACAGCACAATTGTAGGACTGAACACTAAAACTCACTGGACTAGGTGCAGTGGTATTGACCTTGAGAAATGATTTCTACATGCGAGACAGGGGTTCCAATTGCAAGGGCCCTGAGATCCCTTCTGCATTACTGCATCAGGTGGCCACATTCCTCAGGCTTGGAAGCTGAAAGTTTTAGAGGCCCTATCTAAAGGGCAATAGCTTGAAGGAACACTCAAAGCAATGTTTATTCAACCTAGAGATTTTCCCAGGACTTCACCTTTAACACATATCATTTTATTACAGATTTTTCAAGAACAAAGACATGAAATAACAGGTAACAGAGTTCGATTTCAGAGATAGGAAGTGTAACAAGAGACAAAGGTTGGGTGGACTTGTCTTGCTAGCAACCTGTTAATTCATGTTTCCCTGCCAGTTTAGTTTTTGGAAAGGTTATAAGAGAAACTAGCTTGGGGGTAAGAAATAACTATATAGTACTCAAGTAGTTTAGTCCAATGAATCCAATGGTGTCTTTGCTGGTCCTACTCACTCACCTTCTAGCTTTACTGAGCCAAAGTGAGGCAGGGCCATGAATTGTCATAACAGAGACAAAAGCCACACAATTTGCTTCTCTGAGCTAGTGCCAAATCTAATTAACCTGAAGGACTTACCTTCTTATTTCTATCTGCCTAAAAGAAACACCAAGAAATGGCCAACTATGAAAACATCTTTTAGAGTTTTAGGGCAGTTATAGAGGACCAGTATTGAGCAGACAGTGAAGTCACTGAAAAGTGAGTCAACGTTACTGCATCTTCATGCTTAACTTAGGTTCCCTTGCCCACCTTTCTTTGAGGAAAAGGGTCTTTGGGATAGGCCACTCCACACTGATCTTCTTACCACAGTGTTCTTCATCTTCTCCACTGTCACAATCACTTTCACCATCACATCTCCAGGATACTGGGATACACTGAGTAGAACGGGCACCACAGCTGATTTCATTTATGCGGCATGTTCTCATATCTGTTGATGATATACAGTCTCAAAAGAGCCTCAGAACTGATCAGTGTCAGGCTGCTGCTTTTGGAAGTGTAATACCTAGAACTGTGTGGCCTGGCATACTGGGCAGATCATCTAGCTGAAGTCTGGGTAGATTTTTCCAGTTCTGTTCTTTAGAATCCAAGCCAACTAATGCCACTAGGCAGTGTATCTAAGAGCCTTAACCATGTCAGTCCTTTGGGTTCCATGGTGTGCTTGCTTCTGGCTTTTGTTTTGCTTGGCACAGTTAAGGTGATGGTCTGGCCTGCATCTAGACCACTGCATGCATGTTTGCTATGGAGTGGGCATATCATGTACTGTCTCTTAACTCTGATTTCACTAAAGGTTGGAAGGGCTAACACCTATGAAATGATCCATTGCCTAGGTTTCAGAATGTCTCCTTCACAACCTTCTTTAGATTAACATCTTGAAAGCAGAAATTTGCCCTAATTCTTGTCTTTCCTAGGTCATACCTTCACTAAAACTTGGGGCTGCATGTTTATAAGACCTGTCTGGAACTTGTAAGTCTTTAAACAACCTGCTTTACCTATTATAATTATTACCCTTATTTCTTACTTGGAAAATTGAGTTTCTGCTTGATTTTCTTTTATATTCACATTCTGAACCTCAACTATGCACATTAGTCCTTTATTCTGCATCAGGCATCCTATATTAGCTTACAATGAATTCTAAGACTGTCTTCATTTGGGCTTTCAAATGATTTTGATTTATATGATTCAAAACCATGATCCTCTCTGAGGATCTCATACACTTTTCTCTTCATATCAGTCTACAGACAGAAGCACACAATCGCAAACCTATGAAGTTTCTCCTCTTTTAAAAGAAAAAATGACTATAATAGCCCTGCTTCAGCAACTTTAAGTTACATGTTCGTTAAAAATCACTAAATCACTCAATAACTAGTCACCTTACCTATTTAGGAATAACTCTTTTCCCCCCTAATATTGAAAGCTGTGTATCTAAAAGCTTATACTTGGCCCATGGGAATCCTTCATATCTTGACTTAGCTTCCAGGACTCGAGTACCATCTGCTCAGAGTTGTTATTATCAAATATTTGAAATCTATGCACCTAGTCAAGGAGTTCTTAATCAAATCTACTGGCTTCAGTCTTAAGTACTGAACAGTGAAGCTACCCAAGAGAATGTCAGTCTTGCTAGAGCTGGGAGGATATTCTTTAAAGCAAATTGCTCAACAGTTAACAACTTGACTGACCTTAGGGTCAGTTGACCTAACTTTAAGGCAGGTGAAGGAAAATGAACAACAAGTAGTAGACTAAGCATTACTTAGAACCATGAGACACAAAACGGCTTGGGAAAGTTCAAGTCCAAAGCTAGTCACACTCACGGCACTGCTCTGGGCTTTCATCAGAACCATCTTCACAGTCGGGATCCCCGTCACACTGCCATCGGTTGGGAACACACTGGCCATTGTTACACACAAAGTCAGACTCAGCACATGTCTTCTTTACTAGAAAAGATGATTTCCAGGGTTAAAGTTGAGGTTACTTATCCAAGACCCTAGTCATCACTATTAGGTCTAACAATATGTTTTGGCATGATTTTCTATGAAAATCCTAGTTAATTGATACCCAACTACCAACATCCAGGGGAACTTTTGAAAACTCTTTCTTTCCACAGAAGAAGGTAGTCATTTAAGAGTGAAAGAGGATACTGACATCAAGGAAAGACAAAAGTTGTTCATTATCTCACTATATAATGGCACCATAAAATTAACTTTATTCCCATTTATAATAGTGAAATTCTGTAGCACTAAATCTCTATGCATTTTGAGTCATTCACACACTTCATAAATGTCATAATAAAAATATCTGAGACTAGGTAACTAATAAAGGGAAAAAAAATTTGGTTCTTGGAGTTAGAGGCTGGCAAGTCTAAGAACATGGCTCTGGCAACTACTTGGCTTCTTATGACAGTACAATCCTGTGCCATTGCATGGCAGAAAAACAGAGGGACCAAGTAGACATATGTGGAAGAGAAAGAACACAGGAGAAGCCTTGCTTCACGCCAGTCCACTCTCTCAATTAATAGTTACACTTCCAAGGAAAAAGGCTTTATTTCTTCTGAGTTATTCACTTCTTAAATACCCCACTCTTTCCTCCATTACATTGGGAATCAAATTTTAACATTAGTTTCAGAGGAAACAAATCGTCTAAAAGCCAAACGCCTAGCCTGTCACTAGAACGTAGACCAACTGTTTGCTATGAATGTGTCTGTGTCCTCCCAAAATTCATATGTTGAAATAGTATTAGGAGGAAGGATCTTTGGCAAGTGATTAGGACATGAGTTTGGAAACCTTACTAATGGGATTAGTGCATTTGTAAAAAGAAACATGAGAGCTTTCTTTTTTGCCTCCCTATTCTCCACCATAGGAGGATATAATAAGAAGACAGGCACTTGCAAGTCAGAGATCCTTCACTAAACATTACATTTTCCAGGGCCTTGACCTTGGACCTTTTAGCCTCTGGAACTGTAAGAAATAAATTTCTATTATTTAAGCCACCTGGCCCATGGTACTTTTGTTACAACAGTATGAATTAAGGCACTTCTATGCATCTAATAAACAGACAAAGGTGATGCCCCAGGATTGTTAGTATAATAGGGTAAAGAAATCACCTAGTTGAAAGGGGAGAAAATTTAAAGGCAAATATAAGTAGGGTATCATATTGAGAATTCAGAGGAGAGTAAATTTTATTCCTTCTAGCCAAAGGGTAGTTTAACATCAACCAGCTAAAAGTCATTGAAACTGCCAATGCTAATACCCACCTAAGGCAAGGTATCAATGCTGTTACTAATTCTTCGAAGGACAGATCTTTTCCCTAAAGCTTAGTGTTAGAATTCAATTTGTTGTTCAAAGGGACTCTGTTAATTATACCAAAAAAAGAATAAAGAAGAACTGCCTGGAGCAAACTAGACAGCATGTGTACGCTACCCACTAATGAGTCACAGAATATGAAAGGGTCTTGATAAAGTAGCCAATGGGACACTGTGGGCTTATCTGTTTTAGGTTATATCCTTTCTTACATATCCAGCTATATTTTCTACTTAAAATCTCCATCAAAATTTATAATAATAGTTGTTACTTATAAATCTACTAAAAGTATGCAAGTTACTGAGAATTTGAAAGGAACCATTTCAAGTCAGAGTTTGGGGCATACCTGTGGTCACTCTGGCTTAGCCTTAGATATTGTAAATTGGGGTGATGATGATGATGTTTAATTTTTAACCACTCAAAATGTGTTGATGAATTATGATGATCCAAAAAAGACTTGTCTCCTTGAATTATGCAGTCAAGGAAATAAGAAAGGTCACGTTAGCTCTTAGATTTACATCTATTTCTAAAGTCACCTTAATATATAAATCCTAGTGTTAGCATATTAAGTGCCATTCAAGGCCCATTCTCCTGACTGTGGAGGAAAAGGTCAGAGAGACTGGCAAGGTTAGTTGATACAATTGAACCTGTGATATTCTTGTGAAGTTAGAAGAAAGAGAAGGAGAGTGGCCTTAGTTTTAAGAAGTAGAAAGTATCATGATGATATGATAGATTGGATGTGCAATATTCAAGCAAAGATAAACTGGAGAAAGTGGTATAGGGTTCCTTTTTCTGCATGCCGAGCATAGATTTGGAGGGTAAATAAAAGGAGGCATTTGGACCACACTGCTTTGGTTACTTTCTTTGTTGCTAGAACATAATTCCTAACACCAACACATTAAAAAAGATTTTACAAGAGGTTTATTTTGGCTGACAGTTGTAGACCTTTCAGTGTATGTATGGTTGGCCAGCTCCAGGCGGAAATGGCATAGTGGGAGGGTCTGGTGGAAGAAAGTTGCTAACATCAGGGCATCCAGGAAAGTCAAGAAAGGAGCCAAGAAGGCCACACCCTCAGTGTCCACCTCTTCCAACCAGACTCAACCTACCAACAGCAAGTCAGTTCTAATCTCCATAATCCAATCACTTATGACTCCTATGAGTTCCACCTATGACTGCCTGAGGCTTTTAAGGGACATCTACACGTAAACTATAACATTCTACCCTTGGCCCCCAAATACCGTATGTATATCTCATTATACAAACTGCATTTAATCTGTCTCTTAAGAGTTGCCAAAATCCTAGTAGCTTCAGCATTGCTGAAGAGCACAAATCCAAAGTCTCCTCTGAAATTTAATACAAACTTTTAGCTATGAGCCCCTGTAAAAATCAAAAGAAAGCTAAACACTGCTGACATACAATGGCATGGAGTAAACATTTCCATTTCAAAAGGGAGAAATAAGGGGATAGAAACCAATGGAAACAAAACAAAACTGAAACCCAGCATAGAAAACATTAAGTCCTGTAGCTGTAGATCCAATAGTAGGACAAGCTGTGGCATGATGTGAATGTCAAATGGTTGAGGTAGCCTCACCCATATAGCATTGCTGGTCATTGTGTCCACCAGGGCTTCTCTCTTGGGCTGGCTTTGTCAGACCTTGTGGTTTTTGTCAGATGTTTCATGTTCTTGGCTTATTCAACTTTCTGGGGACTCCACTGCATTTTGGGTTTCATTCTCATAGCTTCACCTGGTATGAAGGTCCTCCTAGGCATTCTTCTGAACTCTGAGTGGAAACCTTCCTAACCCCACAACTCTTGCATTCTTCATGGTTGTAATATCAGCGCCATATGAATGATCCTAAGGTCTGCCACCAGCTCCAGAAGTAGCTGGGCCCTTTTGCATGTGACTACAGGAGGCCTCTGAGTATTTGGATGGCTGAGCACTGTGAATGGAATCTCAGGAGGCCAATTTCTTAGGTAGCCTTTCTTCAACAATATGCCCTTGGGCTCTCTTCTCAAAGAAAAGTCTTTCATTTTTATAGACTTGTGTCTGCAAAGGGTGAAAGCTTGCTGATTCCTGAAATGCCCTTAAACCATATTTGCTATGGTTCTCAACCAAAGCAGTTGGTTTTTAATGCTAATCTTTTTAATGCTAATTTCTTCAGCAAAGCTGTCCTAAATGCCATCTTTGTTAGCGCTTTCTTTTTGGAAAAACAGAACATACTTAAAATAATCTTTTTGTTTTTGATTTTCAGTATACACCTTGCTAAAAACTCCAACAATATCCATGATACAGCCTCAATGCTGATCTGCCTTAAAATTTTCTCTGCCAGATTAGTAATTTTACTGCCTCAATGCCAGTCTGCCACAAACTCTCCGGACAAGAGCAAAATATTGACTTTTTTTTTTTTTTTTTTTTTTTTTTTTGCCAGAGAATAACACACACAAGTCTTGATTCTAACTGCCAATGAGTACTTCTTCCCAACTTGGATTTCCTGAGCCTGTTCTTTACTGTGTGTTTTATTTTTTTTTTTATTGGCACTCTGGTTTTGTGAGCTCCAACAAGAATCTCATATAAAGCGCTACTTATAACATTCTAGGGTTTCTCTAGTTGACCTCTCCAAACTTTTCCAAACTCCTCCTATGAACCAGTTCTAAAGGCTATCAAACCACATGGTCAAGTGCACTCACACAATGAACCCAACTCCTGAGTATAAAAACCTGTCATTATTTTGCTAATTACTGAGACATAATACCCAACATCAATAAACAAGGAAACTTGTACATGTTTCAGTCCATGAGTGGTTGGCTGGCTCCAGGTAAAAGCTACATAGCAGGATGGTATGCAAAGGAAAGTTGCTCATATCATGGCATCCAGGAAGGGTTAAGAGAAGAGCCAAGATGGAAAATACAGCCTTGTAGGCCACATCCCCAGTGACCTACCTCTTTAAACCAGACCCCACATATTAATAGCAATAAGCTACATAATCTGATCACCTCCCCAAACCCCCACCTATGATGATATAGGCTTTTGGAGGACATCTAAATATAAACCATAACACAGACTTTAACATACAGATAGAAATTTAGAGGTGCTACAGGGGGGAAGAAAACTAGTCATTACATGCTTTGGGTTCTCAGTTACTGATTAACCAGCGCAATATAGCAGTTAAAAGATATAAAGAAGTCACTGTGGCTAAAAGAAGCACATGGCTCATGGGCTGTAAGCTTAAACTGACTAAATATGATGCTAGCTGTCATGCTTAAAAGAGCGAGCTCTATTAAAAATTCTAAGCAAGTTCCATACCAAAAAGTTACACAGGAAAATCAAAAGGTAACTTTGGAAGTTTTAAGTAATCATGTGCCTCTTCTCTTTCACAAAGAAGCATCTCAAAATAAGAAATGAGAGTTTCTCAGTATAGCTTGCGCTTTCCTTTTCTCCCCAAGTATCTGGGAGGCAGTGACAAATTCTGACCAAGGATAAATTTAATACTTCAAATGATCTTGATTCATGTTATCTATTTACCTTCTTCCTTCCACAAACCCTCCTACCATATAGCTAACAGTATTTTTGCAGAAATTATTTTAGGAAAAGTAGGTGTTTCACCCTATAAGGCTCATTTTCACTGAGTTAGATGATGAAAGAAGATTTCTACAACATGAATAAAATAATTACTTTTTAGGAAAAGCCAATTTTTTCAACATACAATTTTGAAGAGAAAAAACTGCTACTTACACAAAAGAAAACCGATGAAAAGACTGAGGTCCTCCAAGTGAGAGGTTTTTGGAGAACCATATTATGTAGCTAACCCAGAAATAGCATGGAATCCAATGTATTCCATGTAGATTAAAATCTTAGTGTTAAATGCAAATAATAGAAATGGATAGCATTGGAAAAATATTCCTGGTCCTGAGACTAGAGGTAAGCTTTTTCCTGGAGGTTGCACAATGGACTTTCTGTGCTTCCAAAGGAGCTACTGATCTGCTCGTTGACAAAAAAACAAAACAAAACAAAACAAAAAAAACCCACAAAAAACCCATATTATGTGGAAAGAGCAAGCACAGGACAATGTCTGTCATGATACCTATGCTCCAAAACATTTTAGGAAAGGTCATAAAATCGCAGGCAACGAAACCCCCATTTAGCTTCTATTTTTCTTCTGTACTTCTGGTTTGTATAGGAAAATATATTTACATGTAACATATTTTAAAAGGTAGGTGGCAACAATAGCACCTATATTCACACACAGCAATGCTTCAGGACTTTAACAACACAAAAAAAGATCGAAAAGCAAGCTTCAGCATGAGTTGGAAATACCGAGATGTGATCTTGACATCACTTTTCAGCTGCTCTGTTTGACATGAGTTTACGTAGACTACATGCGTAGGCATTTCTCAGAATGGTCTTTTGCTAGACACTGACCAATGGCATGCGGTTACATCCTCATTCTTTGAGGGAAAAGAATGTCTTCATCCCTAATCCTTTAGAATCAGCAACAATTGTGGTGAGAATTACAAAAGAATTTTTATCTGATCTGTGCTCTGCGATGGCCTATAGCTTCTATGTTAGGGGTTAATCTCTTAAACCTTCATGAGATCTTGTAGTGTGAATAACTTGATTTCTTTTCTGGGAGTAAGGAAATCTAAGAATTTTTTAAAAATTACTTCTGAGCAATTTCCTCTCTACTTCTATTTCTGGCCCTCCCCTCCCTTTCCTTGTCTTCCTATACGTCATGTTTGCTGACCTAAGATAAACCAAGTCCTGTTATTTGAAAGGAACTCCACATTACCTTCAGCCTTCCATACTCAAGTGGATAACCCCATGTCAAACATTAAATTAGTCCCTCTAAATTGGGCAGTACAGATTCTTTGGACTCTGGTTCAAAGAAGTTCTTTGCAGTAGATTTCATTTGAAGAATCTCAATGTATGTATAGAAACTTAGATAGTATCATTATATTTCAATAAAATGAGTAAGTCCAAGTGCAGTGTCAGTTGAAATGATCAGATTCTTTACTTACCACAGTTTTTTTCATCACTGCCATCAACACAGTCTTCATCTCCATCACACTTCCACAGTAGAGTTATGCAGCGGCCATTTGTGCACTGGAATTGGTTAGGTTCACATTTTGTTTTTCTTCCTAGAATCAAGAAGGAACATTTAGCAAATCAACAAAAGCAGTAAGTTAGAGATACAAATTACTCAGACTACCTTGATAGAGATCTTCTCAAAAGTACAGCAACTGACTCAGAGGGCTCTGACATTCTAAGGGCCAGCAATGGGTGCATGTTGAGGCAGGAATTGACAATAAGGAGCTGAGCTGGGTATACCCTAACACAACGGGTCATTTCTACCCCCTCCCAGGGAGTGTAATCCAGGGACTCGTTCTGGTAAACAGACATGGTATATATGACTTCTTCTTTTTTTTTTTTTTAAATTTTATTTAAAAGGAAAAAGAGAAAAACACAAAACAAAACAAAGCGGTGTAAGGGTACACGTAATACAGAACTACAAAAAAAAAAAACAGTAAGAAATCATCAGTTAATAGATTACATATTATCGTCTTAGAGATAGTTGCTCAAATCACAGTATCAAAGCACACAAAGTGGACATTCAAACAGTGAAACTGCAAACAGTATGTTCAATGATCCAACCAAAAACATTAATATGGTCAGCTATTTAACACCCCTAAACACACTTGCTGTTGTATCCTTTAGAGCTCTTTTTTTCGGTATATATGACTTCTAAAAAATACACTCATGTGCCACATCATGATGTTTGGCTAATGTGAATACTATAAATAACAGTGAGCTCATGATTCTAATAGAGCCCTAAGAAAATTCACAATGTAAGTTTTAGCAGAAACTCTTGCAGAATTCAACAAGGACCTTAAAAAGTTTGAAAAATAGACATCTCTCCACCCTAGTGCTGAAGGTTTTTCATACATAAAGAGAAATGTGCATAGAACTTAGGACTAAATCTATGATAAAAAATGAAACTGAGCAAGCAATTTACTGTGAGCATGTTTCTGAAAAGAGTGACAGCTACTCAGGGACCTCAGGCAAGTCTCAAGAGGGATCCACAGGAAGGCACCGGTACCACAGGAAGTGACAGCTCCATGCATGTCCTTGCCTGTGAGATGTTCCAGTAGGACAAGAAGCCAGTGGCCTGGTGTCTTAGTTTTTAACAAAATGTTTAAAAAGTTAAAAAATTAAAACTTATGGAATAACAATATAAAGAAAATATTTTTGTACAGCTATATATTGAGTCTTTAGGGTGTTATTCACACAGTCACAAAGTTGGAAAGTATATAAAACAAACAAAAATTACAGTAAGGTCTGGGAATGTAACTCAGTGGTAGGATTTCTGCTTAGCTTGTATAAGGCCTTGGGTTTAATTCCTAACATCAAAAATCAAACAAAATAACCTCCAGCATGTTAAGGATAACTTATTGTTGGAGAAAAAAGAAAAATGTCTGTTCCATAATTTAGTGCAGCCTGAGTGTGCAGTGCTTAGAAAGTCTAAAATAGTAAGTACAGGAAAGTTCTAGGCCTCACAATCACTCATTACTCGCCCAAATCCACTTCTACTCATGTTAACTGTACCATTTTTACCTCTGTACTGTATTTTTTTCTGTGCTTTTTCTATGTTAAGATATACAAATAGTCCATCAATGCACTTGGGTTGCCTAACAGTGTTCTGCACAGTGCCATGCTGCACAGGTGTAGGCTACACCACAAGGCCCAAGCATGTATAGTCGCCTGGACCATTTAGGTTTGTGTACGTGTTATAGTTTCCCAGTGACCAGATAGCCAATATTGTCATTCTCAAAACGTATACCCATTATCAAAGGATGCATGATTGTATCCTTTAAAGGACAGGGGATTCATTTTCCATCTCTTTCTGATTCCTGAAAATTGGGCATGGTAAGCTGGTGCAGTGATTTAGGGCCAGTGGAGACAGACCATGATAGAAGGAACTTAGATTTCGCAGAGACCACAGGGGCATCACATTTGCCTCTTGTCTCATTTTCCTCATCTGAGTAAGTCACCAGTGTGATAAAAAACATGCAGCCAACCTAACCCCTTCATGGCATTTCTTTCTCATCTTCATATCACTGTTCATGAATAATATTCTCACAAACAAAGTGAAGCAGATTTAGCAAGAGAGCAACAAGGAGAGGGTGGAAATAGAGATTGAGTATATTGTGCCTCACCTTAAAAACTGAGGCTTATTTACAAAAAGACATGTTTACAAAATAGCTCCAGGATAAGATTAAAACAAAGGAGAAACTATAGGTAACAGATAAAAGAAGATCATTTCCCATTTAGTGATGAGGGGAAAAAAAAAAGTGAAGTAGCTCCACAGATAGGGATTCTGTTTCTCTGTGTTCAGCTGTCTTTGGCTCAATATACAGGCATTTAATTCACAGCATCATGAACTGGGACTTAACGAGCACTCAGTTTTTTTACCTGACATGCAACAGCTAATGTTCAGGTGTTTCCTATCATTAGCAGTTCTGTCATTCTGAAGGTGGTGATTACTTTGAGATAAAAGGCATGGATCTAGTCTCTTGTAGCCAGCCTCCTGCAAATACTGGAGAAAACGGATGGAATCATATAGTGCATGCAGATTACTTGGTGAGCGGGGGGAAGCTGCTAGCAGAAAGCCTTCGGATTCCCTGCCACCTTTCAGCATCTGCAGCTGGGACACACTGGCATAGGAACAGAGACGAGCACAGACTGGAACTCTTGTGCTATGTGTACAATACTCTAGTTGGTCCCCCTTGTATCAACTACTCTTTGCTGTGGGGGAAATTCTGTGCTTTGTGCTAATTTCCAGGCAGAGTAAAATTTGATCCAAGTAAAGATTACCACACAAGTGTGGTTACTGGCGGGTATAACAAGTTTACTGATTTTAGAACTGTATCTACCACTCTGCTGCTAAGAGTCTAGTCCAGCTACAAAGCATGATAGTTTGCTGGTATTTCCTGCCAACATTTCATAATATTTATTCATTCTACAATTTTTTTGCATATTAAATAGTACGATGTTAGACAAGGGAATAAGGGGAAGGAGAAATTGTTATCAGGAATTGTCACCTATTAGTTTTTAACGCACTAAGCTAAGCGTGAGTTCTCAGGATGGTGTTTAGTGTAGCACAGGCCATTTGCTAGAATGTTCTATCCTTAGCACCACTGAGGACTGAGAATGGTGAGTCTACTCTGCATACTTTATTTTAAAACGAGGAAAATGAACAATGTGCAGTCAGAGAACATAGGTATAAATGCAACTGGAAAGAATAGTTCAGTTGCAATTTGAATGCAATAAACAATGAAAGGCTTAGACTTTTTCAAGGGTTTTGGTTACTGAGGGTCAAGTCAAAAAGAGATGAAAATTTCTGGGCCTTAACTATACATAAGCAGACTATAACCATATAATCATGTGGATGGAGACTTAAAGGTATAGGTAAAATCATGGCCTTCTATTCTAGGGTGAGATACCTGACAGAGCGTGGTGTTTGTTTCTACAGGTTTTCTAAATGATCAAGCTGGGCTGGGGGTAAAGTATGAAGATAAAATATTCCAAGGCTAATATTTAGCTAACTATCACCTTAAAGAAGTTCTCTGAATTTAGTTGTAATATACAGGCAATCCTTGTTCTCAACTCCCAGCAACTGTGCTGCAAGAGTATACACTGAAAAGGCTCATAACACATGTAAGAATTTTTTAGTGCTTATTTCAATGTCCTATTATTAAAAAGGAGGTTAATCTCTACTTTTTCTTATCCCAGATGTGTCCACTTCACCCAATACTCTGCTGCCTGTCATAACACTGTTCTATCATCACCTACACACACACACACACACACACACACACACACATCACTCCATTCAGAAGGAAGAATAATTGACAATAGGGAGTATAGTGTGCTTTTAGTAAAATAGTCATGCTCATCTAAAAGAGGCAAGAGATTGAGGTGGGAACAGGAAGGCTAGATGGCTTTGCAAAGAATACTTTAAAGAGAGGCAAAGAAAAACCTTAAGCTTTAGGACTATACCTCTTAGTTTCCTAGCACTTTGTTTTGTTACTAGGCAGAAAGTGCTCCCTAATACTCTTAATTCCGTACTTCAAGCAGAGCAGGAAGAGCTCAGATGCTAAATGAACGCTGAGCCCTCAGCCCCCTGACTGCAATGCTGTGGTTTTTTTTTTTTTTCCCTCCAGCTTCCAGAAAGAATCCGCTTCTCCCTCACTGGTGCTTGACTGAGACTTCTGCTGCACAAAGGTCCAGGAGAATTTAAAGCACCAAATGAGTTAAGAAGCTTTGGAGGATTATAGGATTGCAAACTTGTAGTCTATTTCCATCCATGAAAGTTAAGTCTCAAGTTTAGTATTATATTTTTATAAAAGGTCCAGGATGAGCTTGAAATCATCAACACAAAAGTTCTTTTAATTCTTATGCTAAGCTAAAGCCAGTAAAATCTCAAATTAGAACCTTGGAAGTTGAAGCACTGGGCACTCTGCATCCCCAGAGCTGTGTGCTCAGGTAAAAAGTTGGAGGAAAATGTAATTTTTAAAGGGTTCCTCAACGCCACAGTATTTCACAGGAAATGCTTTAGGGGTGAAAGGGTGAAATCTGGGTAAAGGTCATGACTGATAGGCCCTAGGTGTTTCACCTTCTTTGGGGAGATTCTGAATACTGGGGTTTTGTGCAAGAATTTGAAGTGTTCTCTTTTGAAAAATCAAAACTGTCTCGGTTTCCTTCTAGCTCTAACACTTTGAATATGGGTATAGGCCAGGTGGTTCAAAGTTACTTAGACCTAGTCACTTAGCTGGCTATCTAAATTAGTAAAAACAAATTCCCAAAAGTATCAAATAATTACTTGCTTTTCCTGTCACTCATATAGATGGAGACAAACTACGCATGTCCTAGGTGCTTTGCTTACCTAAATAGATAAATCTGCTACCCAGACATGTTAGCAGTTCACTGTTTCAAGATGGTTTTTAGTATACAGCAGTCAGTGGGCCATTGTTTCATCATCCTTTCAAGGATTAACATGGGAGAACATGTATACGTCCATAAAAACTGCAAGGACTTTATAGTGAATACAAGGCATTCGCGATGGGCTGTAAATTTCCCT